AGAGTTCTGGTAGAGATGAAGATAAACTGGGGCCCATTAGTCCCAACTCAGCCTTTGGTTGTTGTCTTGTCTAGTTCTGTTTTAGAATTGGTACCAGTTTCAAATGTACGTACAACTGATTTTGATTTTTGCGCGCTTTAAGATCTGTGTGTGTTTTGTATGTGTTTGTGAACATGTTCAAGATAAAAATTATCAACATGCTGTAACAATTGTGAGCTTAAATTTAAAAGGTTATGAGGTTTGGACATTACCAAAAATTTAAAAAAAATTCACATTGTTTTAAGTGACTTTTTAAGGATTCTTTAGCTTAAAAAATTAAAAAATCTGGTATTTTAAAATGCATAAGGCTGTTTACACTGTAATCAAGTTATCTGGCTTAACAGAAATGCATTGGCTGTTTGAAATTTAGTTCTCTTGGCTAAAATTTGGGGATAAATATTAAAAGTTTAAATATAAAAGTTTGTTTAACACTGTAAAAGACATTACCTGTTCTGTCTGTCTAAAACTGTGTGTTTTCATTCAAAAAACAAGAGATAAGAAAAGGAAAAAAACTTAAAAGCCAACAAAAGACCTATCTTTAGGGACAAGGGGTAAACAGACAAAAGTGCAGTTCAGCTGGTCATACATGGTGGGACGGGCCATGGGAGGAGTCCACGCATGGTAAAAGAGGACAAGCTGGCACAAACGCAGTTCATCTTATCCTAAAGAGTGAGATTAGGTGCGTGCCCATTCCACAGGAAGGGCCAAGTGGCCCAGCTTTGTTCTGTCCTTTTTCTCTACAGATAAATACTAGAAACATGATGGTAAAAATTAGTGATGTGATGATCTGATTAGTATTGCTAAAACTGCCCCATGGACTTAAAAAGAGGGTTAAAAAATGTTTTTGTATAATATGACTTGCTTTCTATGATGTTTTATAATTGGGATATGTTTTTAAAAGTCATAAATGTGTTAAGTTTAACTTCTTGATAGAGTGATGGTGATTGTAATTCTTGCATTAAGAAAAAATTTGAGTTTAAAAGTTTTAATGTGTATCTGTTTTAAAACAAGCAGCCAAGAGACAATGAGTGACACTTGGCCTCAAGATTTTAAGGGATTTTTTTATGTAACTAAAAACTAAAATAATAAAAGAGATTAATAGGAGGCTTAAAAAATAGGAATGGATTTGTGAATATAAAGTTGAAAGACCCCAGACTTCTGGGATACTTTCGTCAACTGGAGGGCACCCCAGAAAACTCAGACTCCAGGCCAGGAGATGCAATAAGCAAGAGGAGTTTATTTGACATTTGCGCAAACTGTCTCTCTGCCTTAGCACAGGAGAGAGCCCTGAACCCCGGTTACAGTCATTCTTAAAGGCAAAAACCACAAGATTAGCATATAACACCAGGTGTCCCCA